TGACACCTCCTTTACCACCTCAGCCACTGTGGGAACAGTGGACAGGAAGAGGAAGGCAGCAAGGAACCAGAGAGACCTTATCTTCAGTGACACCATCTTCAAACACTGTATCATTTGATCAGAGGAGAGAACAAAAACAATCATTGGAGTTAAGTTAGATTTCAGTTACATGTATAGTTTATTTACTTCACTTTGAATCACAGCAGAAAAGTTGGATTATGAATAATAATAATCAATCAGGCTAATTTGTCATCTGCAGGAAATAAGAATCTTTCTCTGAAACCAAGAACCCATCATTTCAAAGTAATTGAGGGGGGCGGGGCTTAGCTAACAATGCTCTAACCAAGTTACTGGAGCACAAAGCATAAAGCGGGACTTAGAATAGAAATGAATAAAAATATTGCATCTCCTTCTTTATAACATTTAGACAAAAGGTAAATAGTTGTATAATACCAACTGCCACATTTGTTAAGTCCCAGGAAGTGGGTGTGGGATATAGAGTTAGTTATTTGGTGTTGTGTTTTTATGCTGTGCACATCTTTAATTTTTAATTTATTAATTTTTGTTTGTCCAGTGAGGACACTATATAATTCTGACTACGTTAATATCTGACTGCTCAATAAAACAGACTCAAAGTAGAAACATCTACAGTAATAAATAGGAGAAATATCTGGATCATGTGTAGGCACTTTTGTATTAATATTTTGAAATGTGTCCAAATTAATGTATTGTATGAAAGAGAACATTTTTATTTGAGCTGTCAGATGAAAGTCAGAACTCAAATACATTTTCTACACGTGGCCCTAATCCTCTTTTGTAGTACGGAGTCAGGAAAGGAGGCAATAATGGGTTTTTCTTGTTCTTTATATGAAATATTTATGAAGAACTATTCAAATATGTCTAGATATGAAGTGTTCAATACCAGATAATTATTTTTTGACAGGAAAGTGTTAATTGCAAAAATAATTTTTTTGTGCAGAACGGGTACTGTAAAGAACTATAAATAGACTGTAACTGTAAATATATTTTAATCAATAATCAAAAAAGTTATTTAATCAAACAATTGAAAACATTTACCTCATATAAATATAAACAAGACAGCTGTGCCTTTGTAAATAAGTCTTCGCTGAATTTTCCATTTCAAATGCATTACAATTACAATTTAAATATGAACAGGGGAAGATAAAACTCACCACCTCCCAAAAGTCTTCCAAACAGCGTCTTTGTGTTTATGCAGCACTGGAAACCAGAACGTCTTCCTCAAAAATGAAAGAAGCTTGTGGAGGGAGTCTAATTTATACAGAAAATGTAGCAGATTATGACAGAGGCGTGTCTAGAGGGGGGTCCTGAAATCTCATTGGCCACCCTTTAAAACTGATTGGCCACCCCAGGTACCACCCAATTATCTTTACCTCTTCCTAAGAAAGGGGGCTGTCACCTAACTGCCACTTTACCCTAACCACCAGTTCACACTTTGTCACCAGTTCACTGGTGTTAAGAGTCAAATACCAAGAAAAAAACAGGAACCTAATTAGAATATGGTTTTAGTGGCATAGCACCTTTGATATATTTAATACAACTTCTCCATTCCACTTCATGTATAGTCTCAGTTGTATTTTTCCACTACACTTACAAGCCCATTTTCAAAGAGGTCTCTTACCCTCTGACCTCACAATATCTGAATGAAAATGGGTTTTCTGAGTACCCATCAATGCCCCCTTTAAAAACATGCGCACTTTATGCTAATCCCATGCAGTTTTTTGCATGCGGTATAAATTTGTTATCTTTTGCCTAGTGTAATATTTCTGCATACTGGGGTCCATAAAGAGTCCTGGGATTGCATGAATTGTGTATGAATAAAAAGCTGAGACTCTTGTGGATTTAATGAGCCCAAATGTATTCATGTGTGATGATGTTTGTCACCATAGTAGCCTTTCCATTGTACTAAGACCATTTTTGGAAACTCAACCTTACTGTATGAAATGAGCAATTGTGACCTCTCAGATAATCACACCTTAATTAAACTGAACAACCACAAACTAGAGACCGAGGGCATCCAGAGGATGGATGGTTTGTCAAGGTATAATGACAATAAGGACCATACAGTCTGTTTATATATATATGCCATGTAACATGTTCTATTCTATCAGGTTAATGATACCTTGTCTCTTTACCCACAAGGCCTACTTTGTAGAAAGAATACTGACTATCAGAACTAAAATTCACCACTATGTGAAATATAGAATCATCAAAATTTTTTAGGCGAGACACCTTTTTGTGTACCAATAAATGATCACTTCTAGAGGTCGTATATTGCTTTTAGTGTGACACAACTACATTTGTTTTCAAAGTCACTTTATGTGGCGAAACTAAAATGACAAAGTCAATGTTCTTTTATGTAGAGCACATAAACCATTAGTGAGGAAACAACTGCACTCAGTAGGTGTGAACTGCTCAAATGAAGTGTGAATGTCTGATGCATGCAAAACTGCATGTGTGCGTTATCAGACAGTTTAAAGCATAACAAAACTCTTCAGTTTTAGAGGCACATTGATGCTGTTTTAGGCAGATTAAATCAACTAAAACTCACCACTGAATTTAAAGATTAAAAATAACAGCTCAGTGCAGTTAGATTTGATATCAGCCTTATACATCATTGCAGCAGGTGAATGAGACAATTATTTTTTGAGGCCTGCAACCCAGAAGAAATACTGATTCCTGCTATTAATTGTTATAATTTATGTATGGATTAAACATGGTGTGAGAGAAAAGCAAAAATAGGCCGCCAGATTGGAAGAGTTAGCTTGATCAGAGATTATGGGGAATGAGACATGTCATGTGTGTATAGCAGTG